GAGGCAGGCGGATCTCTGAGTTCGAGGCCAGCCTGGTCTACAGAGTAAGTTCCAGGACAGCCAGGGCTACACAGAGAAATCCTGCCCTGAAAAACAAAAAGGACAATATGGTGGTACACACCTGTCATCCCAGCCCTCAGGAGGTAGAGGCAGGAGAATCAGGAGTTCAAGGCCAGCCTGTGCAGCATAGCGAGATGGTGTTTCAGAAAACAAGATGAAACAACCAAGAGATGATCTGGTAGTTGGACCCGAGTGTGGCTCAGCTGTAGAACTACCTTGCTTCCAACCTAGGGTTCAATACCCCTGCATGGGTGGGACGTGGGTTATAAAATTGTTTATTTTTTTTTAATTTTGAAATCATTTCACACTTACAGAAAAGTTATTTCAATGACTCCCTTTGTAGAAGAGAGTCCAGGTCAGGGTTTCTCACTGCATTTACCTGTCCTTTCCATCTGGAACATTCCATGGTCTTTGACTTTCATGACCTGGACTCTTTGTATCCAAGACCATCATTTTTTTTGTTGCTGTTGTTATTGTTACTTTGTTTTGTTTGTTTGAGACAGGGTCTCACTATGTAACCCTGGCTAGCCTGGGACTTCATATGTAAACCAGGCTGGCCTGGAACTTACAGACATCCTCCTGCCTCTGCATCCTGGATGCTGGGATTAATGGTGTTCCTTGCTGAGAGCATAATTTAGTAATAATGCCCTTTGAGTGACTGAGTTAGTAGTTCCTTCTGATTAGGTTTGTGTTGAGGGGGTGAAGGAGACCAAGCCTTGACCCGTGGGTTGCTGGACTGTAAAATCCCCTGCCCCACCCCGTGGTGTGAAGTCTTGGTGGCGGTATCCTTGGGAGGATACTTCCCAACTGTGTTAATATCCTGTCCTCCGGAGGTACTTTCCAATTTAGTGAATTAGTTTGTTTGGTTTGTTAATGATGATAGATGTTTTTCTTGAGTCAGGGTCTCATGTAGCCCAGGCTGGCTCAGACTTGCTGTGTAGCAGAGGGTGACCTTGAACTCTGATCATCTTGTTTCCCTCACCCAAGTGCTGGGGTTCCAGGTGGGGTGTGCAACCCGACACCTGGCCTGTGCAGTGCAGGGCTTTGTACCGACTGAGCTACATCCCCAGCCCTCTGGTGTATTTATTCAGTACAGTCTGGGCTTGTGTTTTTCTTGTTCATTCAGTGTTTTCAAATCTGTTAATGTTAGTGCCTGGGATAAGTGGGTGTGTCTTGGCCGCTGCATCCAATTATCAAGTTAAAAAATACTGGCAAGGCAGCAGTTCACAACCAGTGGGTCAGGGAACAGGATGTGGAAAACAAGGCTTGGACTTTGACCTTGCACCAAGGACTGGTACAGAGAAGAGCTGTGATTTTCTCTGTCAAGCACCCTGTGGGGAGGTGGGTGAGGAGTCTGTGCACAGAGCCCTGGAGTAGACAGGTTTCTGGGGACCACAGGAGAGGAACAGCAGAGTATGCACCGAGGGATGTGGGAGATCCTAAGTTAGAGCCTGACTCCAAAGTCAGATGCATGGATGGTACGTTACATGGAAAGGCCGATTGTGGCTGCTGTAGGTGGGTAGTTAGCTCACATTTAGTTCTAGATGGCAGCACGTGGTAGAAAGCTCTGGGGCTGAGGAAGAGTGTGGACATCAGTGCTTAGGAGCCGTGCAGCCCTGGCTTGCGGCCAGAGACAGGCAGAGTGCTCCCATTCCTTGTAGCAGCTAACCCCGTGTGGAGGGTGGGTGCTGAGGGCTGAGAGCTGAGGGCTGACCTCCGGGCTCAGGAGTACACAGCAGGCACCCTACCACTATCTCCTTTTCTTTTTTCTTTCTTTTTTTCTTTTGGAGACATTGTAGCCCTTGATGGCCTGGAATGTGTGTAGACCAGGCTGGCCTCAAACTCAAGAGACCCACCTGCCTCTGCCTCCCAAGTGCTTGGACTAAAGGTGTCACTACATACCATCTATTAATGAAACACCAATTCAGTTCTTTGGGCACACTGACCGGGTTTGAGTTGTGCAGTAGGTTCTTAGGCTAGCATGTTGTACTCACAGAAATGAAGAAGGCCAGAGCCAGGTGGTCCTGGAGCCTGAGGAAGGAAGGATTCTTGGAAAGCTTGTGCCTCACTGACTAATGAATGCCCTGTGGGGGGCCTCACACCACAGAAAGCCACGAGTACCTGCGACAGCTGAGATCATCCATTTTTGGAATTTTTGAGTTGTTTAAAAACTCCTGCCTTCACGTTCCTGTTGATTCTGGCTGGCTGGGTTGCTTCTGCTGCTGTGGAGTCCCTATACAGTGCAGCCTTTATACCTCAGCCTTTGGTAGAAGGCTTAGGGCCCGGCCTACCCAATGAGGGAAGAGGTCCAGGGGCAGGCTGTCCGCAGGCCTGAGGGCTCTTGAGGGTCACGGATGGACTATCTTAAGGTTTACAGAGCTGTGTCCAGACTCACTGGCCGTCTTACCTGAGCAGAGACAAAAGTCTTGCTCCTGTGAGCTTGCTGATAGTCCTAGCTGCCTGCTCCTGCCAGCAGGGTATGAAGGAGGGCTATGTGGCTGGCCCGGAGAATGTCTCCAACTGTCTGCAATGCCTCTGGACATTCCTTCTCTCTGAGGGAAGCCTACGCCTCCAGCCAAACAATACACGACTCAGCACCAAAGACATTAGCAATTGGCCCTGCCAGCATTTTTTCCTCCATAACCCCTTTCCAAAACACCATGCCCTACAGAGAACCCCAGTGTCCCCCCCCCCTCAGGGATCCATTTGGGGCATGGGTTGAAGATTTGTCCCCAGAGCTTGTTTTCTTACACTCTGAAGAAGGTATTTGGAACCAGACCCTGCCACGGGCGCGTGAAGGCAGAAAATAAAGATGTCTAGGACAGCCAGGGTTCTCTTTGACATTTAGACATCAGGAGGATGCCATGGAGAAACTGGAGAGAATTTTCCATCCCATTCGCAGCCTTTCCCTGATCTATCTCCAAATAGTCTCTCCATCCTTCTTTACATCCTGAACTTCACGTTGCCAGGACCAGGGCTGTGAATCCATCTAAATGTCCAGGTGTCCCTCAGCTGCGGGACAGACAGCCCTGCTGTCCTGGGGATGGGGCAGGTAGGGCGTGGAGCTGGGAGCGTCTCCAGCCCCTCCTGTTCCTGTTTGCTGCACAGTCCCAACAGTTGGTTCTACTCCCATTGTGGATCTTTTATCAGAAGAACGGCATTGTAAGAATTAGGTGTAGCGGTGGAAGGTGAACTCTCTAGATTGCAAAGCACCCTTCATGGTCACTCCCAGTGCCTGTAGGGACCGCGCACGCCGGTGCTGAGAACTTCTTGGGGCTGCACCACCAGCCAAGGGTTTGGCTCACAGCTTTTCACGTGTCACAGCTTGAGTTTATGCGTTTGCTCGGTGATCAGGGTCTAAGTAGCATGAGAAACTTGCCTTGAACACTGGATCAGCATATCCCCGCTGCTCCCACAGTGTCTCTCCATCCCTGCTCAGTGAAGAAGGACTGAATGATGTATCCTATCCCACAGCCGTGGTGGAGGTGGTGGTGGCGGCAGTGGGCAGATGATGTGACCGGTCCTCTGCCTTTTTGATTATCCCCTGGGCACACGGAGGCGTTCTGTAGCCAAATCTTCCTAGCCTGGAGTTGTTTCTCTGAGCTGTTCCTCGGCCCTTGCTCTGTGTTCTGCGTCTGGATGTTTGGAAGGGGGACCGGGGACACAGTCTCTGTCGCCTGTTCTTGCTGACACTGTGGTGGGCCACCAGGGCAGGTGTGTGCAGAGGCTGCAGCTGTGCCGTGGTGCAGGTTCTTATCTGGAGGAGCAGGAAAGCCACCCTCTCGTGGGGCACGTGGATGGGAGTCAGTGGCAGCGGTCAAGATGTGTGTGTGTTCCTGGATGAGCGATGCTTTACACACCAGCTGAACCAGAAGTGTGTGATTCACTTATTCCTCCAGCGAGGGCTAAATGATCGTTTGGAGCTGGGAGAGGCTTCCGGACAAGACCTTCCAGGGGCTCCTGCTCAGTGCTCCTTCCCCCAGGGACTGGTCCAGGTCCCCAGCTCTTCCTGTTTCACACCCTGCCAGGATCCTGTGCTTAACCTACGGTGGCGTCTCCAGCCCTTTGGGGTCAGAAACTTGCTTTAACTTCGGAGCGTGGCCTGCTGGGACACCTCACACCTCTTGAAGATCCTCACAGAAGCACATGGGATTCCCTCCTCCATCTGCGGTGTCCCAAGCTGAGGCCACCAGGAACTTTAAGTAGCTACAAATGTAGAAATGGGACTGAAGCTTTTTTTTTTTTTTTTTTAATAGGATGTAGAGCTGCTTTTGAAAATGCCTTGTTCACTGCCCGCGGCAGCCGCCCACGGCCCTGCCTGGTGGGATGGGTGGGTGGGGATTTGAAAGAAAGCGATGCCCTGCCACCTCCTCCTGTATGTGGTTTTGACCCAGGATGGGGTCCTCTCACTGGGGTTTGGTACTCGGTGGCCAGCTGTTTTCCCTCCTGGTTCCTAATGCACACCCATTGCTTGTTCCAACGCCCGCAGTAAAGCCCGTGGGAGCGCCCTGACTGTAGAGCCTTCAGCTGCTGTTTCCTCTGAATGGACCCTTTCATCAGGGAATGCTGGGACAAGGGCCTTTTTAAGCCAAAACATCAGAAAAAGACAAGGGCCACAAGAGCCTCTTGCTCTTTGGGTAGGACCTTCCTCTGAGGAGGGACTCCACTGTTGCTCTGGAAAGCCCCTCTGCCTCTGGCCGGGCTGGCCTGTGCCTTGTGGATGGCTGGGCCTCTTCAGGCACCGTCTTGTTTCAGCAGGATTACTACGGATGTGAACGCCGCGGCCATGGAACTCTTTTATCTTTCTGACTTCTGTGTCTTCCTTCGGCCAACCCAGTACCTCTGCCGTCCAGAGGTCTCCAGCCCACATTAGTACGTAAGCCATAAGCCGCCGCCGCGGCTGACTCCTGTTCTCCCTGGGAGCTGGTTCGGATGGCACTCTCTGTCTGTGTGAGAGCCGGGGCTTGGGGCCTGAGGGTCGTGTTTGTCTTCCCTACACGGTCTTCTCGAGGGTAGCAGGCAGTGTCTGAGAACGGACTTGTGCTGTGGAGATAAAAGCCTTGAACAGGGCTGTGGGGAGGGGTTGAGACTTCCTAGGGTAGTGGAGGAGGATGCTGCCTCTGTCTGGGTCAGACTTTCTGTAACTCTTAGGACTCTAACATCTCCTGTAAGAAGGAGGATTTTTTTTTTCTTCTTCTCACTGTCTGGGATGGATGGTTGGTAGATTGGCATGCATCCTTGCCCTGGGTACCCAGAGAAAGGTGTGCGCTGTGACTGATATGGATGTCTGAGAGGGTCATGGGGTCTTGAGCTTCTTGGCATCAGGAGCTCAGCATAGAAAACTGGGTGCCGACTTCAGCCACCTTTGGACACCAGAGGCCCCGTACCAGCCGTGGCCGTGACACATCCTAGGATCCAGGCCATGAAGTAGCTTCATCTTGTCTGCTGTCTCCCATCCTCCCCACAGCATCTCAGGTCTCAGCCTGAGGGTCATCTTGGCCTCTGGGTTCCGCTGTTTCCTGTGTATTTCCAGGACACAGGGGACCTTGCAGCCCTCAGAGCAGTGGGGCTCCCTGCAGCATTCCGGCTGGCTGTGGACAGTAACGGAGGTGGCTCCAGGGCCCTGATGAACCCCATGAGTGGAGGGGGAGGCCCCTTCTTATCAGCCAGAGGAACAGCTGACTTCAGAGCAGGTCACAGGGTGAGCGCAGCCTGCTCTTTATCATTGTTTCTTTTTTTCCAAAGGAAATACGAGGGAAACCAAGGGGAATTTTTGCTCTTGGTTTCCAAGGCAAAGGTCACTGTTAATGGCTGGCTGTTTCCAGCATGCTCTGGTTTCTGGTCAATCTGAGTTGGGTTTTTTTTTTGTTTTTTTGGTTTTTTTTTCCGTTTTTGTTTTTCAAATTAGTGAACAAAAGGAGTTGATGTTGCCTTGAAAATTAACTCGGCAGCTGCTTTGATCAAACGTTGGCTGTTTTAAGTTTCCTGGGCTCGGTGGCTCTTGGAGATTCGGATGGGTGTAGTGGAGCTCAGAATAGTTCTGAAAACTTAGTTGTAGAAATGAGCAGGAAAGGGTTGGGGATGGGATTCTGCAGCCCATAGAAGGAGACAGCGCGGCTCTCGCATACAGGGTGTTGACTGTGAGCGCCGCTTTGCCTGGGAGTGAGCCTGCACAGAGACTCCTGACTGTTTATAACCCTGGCTTCCTGGGTGCAGGTGTGTGACAGACAGCGTGGGTGGGACAGTGCAGCATGTATGCATATATCCTGAAGATGACCCTCCTGTGGGGGTCTGTGACGACACTGGGTGTCCCGGGGCTCGTTACCAGGTTGTCGGTGTTCACAGGTCGGTGCTTGAGAGGGTTCTTCAGAGTTGAACAGTCTCTTTTTACCATGTTTGTTTGTTTGTTTTCTTTCAACTTTTTTTTAGTGACTTTTTATTTTATGTGCATTGATATTTTGCCTGTATGTATGTCTGTGTGAGGGTGTCGGGTCCCCTGGAACTGGAGTTAACAGGAATTGTGAGCTGCCAGTTACAGGAAATTGTAGATGCCGAGAATTGAACCCGGGTCCTCTGGAAGCACAGCCAGTGCTCTTAACCGAAGAGTCATCTCTCCAGCCCCCTTACCATGAGAACTTAATGAGGAGAAGTTCAGGTTTTAATGAATCCACTGTCACAGAAGCCAGGTTATCTCAGAAGCCGGTGGCCTGCATGCAAGCCCAAATGGTGTTTTCTTAGCACTTAGAATGACATGCTAGATTTAGCTTGCTTTGAGGTAGGGTCTTGGTAGCCAGACTGGCTTCAATTCACAGTCCCACCTTTTTTAAAAAAATAATAATTTATTTAACTTTTTTTTTATGTGCATTGGTATAATGATGTCAGATTCTCTGGAACTGGAGTTACAGGCATTGTGAGCTGCTATGTGGGTGCTGGGAATTGAACCTGGTCCTCTGGAAGAACAGCCAGTGCTCTTAACTGCTGAGCTGTCTCTCCAGCCCCCAGTCTTGCCTTTTAAGTGTTGAGATGTGGGTATGTGTAGCCACTCCCAGCTTCCTTCGAAGGAGCCTTTAACTGTAGATCATAATGTTTAGCCAGTAACACTGGGTATCAAAGATGAGCTTGCCTTTTCGTATTGTAGATAGTATCTTCCATTTCTACAGGAATTTTTTTTTTTTTTCCAGAGCTGAGGACTGAACCCAGGGCCTTGTGCTTGCTAGGCAAGTGCTCTACCACTGAGCTAAATCCCCAACCCCCCAGGAATTCTTAAATTTAAGGTTTTTTTGTTTGTGTTTTGTTTTCCAAGACAGGCTCTCTCTGTGTAGCCTAGGCTGTCCTGGAGCTCATTTTGTAGACTCACAGAGATCCGCCTGCCTCTCTGCTTCTGCTGGGATTAAAGGTATGCACCACCACCACCCACCCACCTGAAGACTTTTTTTTTTTTTTTAAGATTTTTTTTGAATTTTATTTTTTGTGTGTGGTCTTTCGTGTGCACTAATGATTGCATACCACACATATACGGTGTCCTCAGAGGCCAGAAAAGGGGGTGGGATCCTCTGGAAGTGGAGTTACAGGTGCTTGATAACCTCCACATGGGTGCTGGACACTGATCCTGAGTCCTCTGGAAGAGCAGCCAGGGCTCCTAACCACTGAGCTATCTCTCCAGCTCCTGAAAGCAGAAAATTGTTAACCAAATTATAAGTGGAAAACTGCAAAAATGTGTTTTGTTGTTGTTTGGTTTTGTGGTTTGTTGTTATTTTGTTCCTTCTCTGCCTTTTGTACATCCTAGCCTTATTACAGGGCGCGTGTGTGTGTGTGTGTGCGCGCGCGCGCGCGCGCATGTGTGTGCACGCACACGTGTGTGTGTGTGTGTGTGTGTGTGACAAAGAGACAGAAAGTTGTGTGTGTGTGCGTGCGCGTGTGTGCGTGCGTGCATGTGCGTGTGTGTGACAAAGAGACAGAAAGTTATGCGTGTGTGCGTGTGTGTACGCGTGTGTGTCAGAGAGACAGAAAGGTGTGTGTGTGTGTGTGTGTGTGACAGAGACAGGTGTGTGTGTGAGAGAGACAGAGAGGTGTGTGTGTGTATGTGTGTGTATGAGAGACAGATAGAGGTGTGTGTGTGTGTGTGTGTGTGATAGAGACAGAGAGAGACAGAGACATGTGTGAGTGACAGAGACAGAGAGGTGTGTGTGTATGAGAGACAGAGATAGAGGTGTGTGTGTGTGTGTGAGAGAGAGAGACAGACAGACAGAGACAGGGGTGCGTGCATGTGTGTCACTAGGGATTAATCGTGGGTCTTTTGTATGTTAGACAAATGCTCTACCCCTGAGCTCTCTGTCCCCAGCTCTTTTTTTTTTTTACTCTCTATTTGCCCAGGCTGGTTGTATAAGCATCAGGAATCATAGGCCTGCCCCTCATTCTGACTTCTTTTGTTGTTGTTTTGTTTGTTCGTTTGTTTTCGAGACAGGGTTTCTCTGTGTAGCCCTGGCTGTCCTGGAACTCACTCTGTAGACCAGGCTGGCCTCGAACTCACAGAGATCCTCCTGGCTCTGCCTCCCGAGTGCTGGGATTAGAGGCGTGCGCCACCAAAGCCTCACTTGCCCCTGAGAACTGCGGCAGCAACCCTTGCGTTCCATCCCATTGAGTGTCATGTGCCATTTGTCTGTCCTGTGTTCCGTCTGCAGCATGTCTTGCCTGTATTTCTCGAAAAAATCACTCTAACCGGGCTCTGGTTTTGTTCTTCCCAGCTTGAGCGAGAGCTTTTTCATGGTGAAAGGAGCGGCCCTCTTCCTACAGCAGGGAAGCAGCCCTCAGGGCCAGCGGAGTCTTCAGCACCCTCACAAGCATGCAGGTGACGGAAACGCTTTAAGTTGGGACCCTTTCTGTGCCACAGGAGAACCTTCCACAGTTGGAGGGAAGTCTCACGGCCGGGGAAGCCGTGCATCGTGGGTTTGTAAGGACCAGCACAGTTGTGGACATGCAAAGATTCCCTGTGTGTTCTCTATCTGTTAACTGAACATCTCAGCTTATACAGTGAGACTTGAACAAATGGACCAGCATGCATCACAGCTGTAAATGGTCCTTTTGAGGCTCTTTGTATCTCACCTGAACATCTGAAAACCCCTCGATGGGGCGATGTAAGAGCCTTTGGCGCACTCCTGAGCAGTCATATGACAGGATGTCTTTATCCTATAATGGCTACCTTTTGGAAAGGACAGAAGTGATAGAGTTGGGGTCAAATTGGATAATAATGTAGGTCCAAAAACAGACTGGTGGACATGCCTGTCAAGTACCGAGGCTGGATTTCTTAGGCTGCTTGACTCTAGAAATGAAGCCAGATTGAAGGTGAAACGCAAGAGGCACCTGTACACAAGGGGACCTTTGTCCCAGGCCATGGCCCTGGGGTCCTTCTGAGGGAGGCTGCTGGAGTCTGAATGTCCACACGGTAGGGAGGCTCCTTGTCAGAAGAGCCGATTTAAGACCAAGGGAGCACCTAACCCCTGTGATCACTTGGTGTGCCTGGCCTCTCCTCACCCAGCTCCATCTCAGGTCTAAGTGCCGAGGTAGAGTTTTCCACGCTGGAGTTTATGTCAGATGCCGGAGCTCAGCCTGTGTTTTCACATCCTAATCCTGTCAACCGAAAGTTAGGTCTGTTGTCATCTGAGAAAATCATTGCCGCATACAAGGAGACAGTGTGGTGTGTGGAAACGATGTCAGCCCAACACTCGGGGGTGGAGTGGAAGCAGGAGGATCATGGGTTCAAGGCCAGCCTAGGCTACATAGTGTAGTCAGGACACCTCAGTCACTTAGTGCAACCATTCTGTTAAACACAGACAGACAGGGGCAGGAGAGATGGTTTATCTGTTAAGAGCACTGACTGTCAGAGGACCCGGGTTCAGTTACCAGCACCCACATGGCAGCTCACAGCTGTCTGAAACTCCAGTTCCAGGGGATCTGATACCTTCATGCACATAAAATAAAGTTAAATAAATTAAAACAAAAACCAGACAAACAGGCCTTTAGTGCCAGCACTCGGGAGGCAGAACACAGATGTTGTGCACAGTCGTGCACCAACTTTTCCAGTGGGTGGCGTTGTGAGCTGCTGTGAGTGTCACCACAGTGGCTTACAGTGTGATTAAACCAGCCATCCCTTCCGAGTCTGCTGCTGTCTGTGTCGTATACGGCGATTCGAAGCTCAGGCTTTGTTTCAAGTGTGAAATGTGTCCCTGCCTTGAGTGGGCTTGGGCCGCACGTACGAAGCCGCTTTGTGTCAGACCCTGGGAAAGCTCGCCTGTGTGTCCCTTGAATGCACGCAGGCGGGAAGGCAGTCGCTGGCTGAGCGGGTCTTCTGTCCTTGAAGCCCAGGACCAGTGGTGAGCTTAGGAAGGCAGAGAACCACTGGCTGGCCTGGGATGGCCAGCAAACAGCTTTGGGCTCTTCCTTTTCTCTATTGCCTCCCTGGCCACCGTGGAGAGTAATCAGAGGGTTAATCTGTGGGGTTGGGTCGATTCAGCCCGCCTGTCGGTGGAGGGTCTTGCACTCCAGGGTTCTGCCCTCTGATCTGTCTGGATGTCAGGCTGGGATGTCAGCAGTTTATTTATGTGCGAAATGCCTCTCTCACTTGGACATTTATCAGACGTGGGGGTGGGATTACTCTCATCTCTGTGACTTGGGGTGGATGGCGGGAGCACCCAGACAAACAAAAGATCCAGCCCTTGGTGACTGTGTAGCCCTGTGGCATTAGAAACCCTGTAGGCCCTTAAGAGAAAGCAGGGCAGGGAACTCCCGATGTGAGCTAGGATCTTCAGAGCCGTCCTGGCAGGAGGGAGGCTGTGTTCCTCCTTGCTGAGTCCCGTTCTAGAAGGATCAGATAGGAAGCACTGTGGCTTTTTTTTTTTTTTTTTTTTTTGGTTTTTCGAGACAGGGTTTCTCTGTGTAGCTTTGCGCCTTTCCTGGGATTCACTTGGTAGCCCAGGCTGGCCTCGAACTCACGGAGATCCGCCTGGCTCTGCCTCCCGAGTGCTGGGATTAAAGGCGTGCGCCACCACCGCCCGGCCACTGTGGCTTTTTTTTGTCTGTGTTTTGCCTGTCTTATTTATTGTGGGGAGAACACTTAGCATGAGCTGTGCCCTCCCGACTACAGGGGCAGGTTCTAAAAACCTGGTTTTCTCTGAGAGAGAGGAAGTGCCATTTAGACGTCACACGTCCGTGCCTTGAGAGGACCGTGTGCTTTGGCAGCAGGCATGCGGTAGCTGTGGTTTCCCGGGCCGTTTGCTTACGTAAGCAGCTTTGTCCTTCCAGGGTTCCTGGCATGGAGAGAATGCTTTGCAGTGTTGATGCTTCACTTTATCTCCTGTGTTTGCAGCGCTGGGCCTCGAACCCAGGGCTGTGCACATACTGGACAAGTGCTGTGTACTATGGCTATGGCGCCGTCCATACCCTCGGCTCCCTATCAAACAAAAAAGATAATGGGGTTTCTTTGGAGCTCTGCACACCATTGGAAAGGGTGGTTTTGCTGAGTTATTTCTTGTACCTTCATCCAGGGGAACATCTTCACAAATGAGCCTTTCCTCAGAGGGCCCGCAGGCCTCAGGGCATGGAAAGGCAGGACTGGGATCCCTACATCTACTTTAGCAACACTGCACCCCGTCCTGGCTCTCACACCCCTCGAACGCCCTCCTCCCATCCTCCAGTAGCTTGCTGCCTGGCCCTGCACACTCTCCAGACCCTAACCCAGGGGTACTTCCCAGAGACATTGGCATCCCACCCTAAGAGGGCTGTGAGTTTGAATCCGGACTGAGCTGTGTAGACTCTGTATCTAAAAAGGGGGAATGGAGTGGGTCTGGAGAGAGAGCGCAGTGGTGAAGAGTGGGTGTTGCTTTTGCAGAGGACCCAAATTCAGTTTTCAGCATCCTTGTTGGGCAGCCCGCAACCACCTGTAACTCTAGTTCCAGAGGATCCAGCGTCCTCTTCTGGACTCTGCAGGCAACTACCTGTAGACGTACACATAACCCCACCACACAAACGTACAATGCATTTTAAAAGTCTTTAAAAAATAGCCGGGCGGTGGTGGCGCACGCCTTTAATCCCAGCACTCGGGAGGCAGAGCCAGGCGGATCTCTGTGAGTTCGAGGCCAGCCTGGTCTCCAAAGCGAGTTCCAGGAAAGGCACAAAGCTACACAGAGAAACCCTGTCTCGAAAAACCAAAAAAAAAAAAAAAAAAAAAAGTCTTTAAAAAATAAAAACTACTTTCTCTGGCTGGAAATGGTAGTATGTACCCACAGCCCCAGATCCCAGGAGGCTGAGGCAGGAGAATTGCTGCTTTAGATGACTATATTTTTACTTCTCTTAGCAATGAAAAACGAACAGATTAATAATTTTTTTAAAAGATTTTTTATTATGTTTACACTGTTCTGCCTGCATATATGCCTACACACCAGAAGAGGGCACCAGATCTCATTACAGATAGTTGTGAGACACCATGCGGTAGCTGGGAATTGAACTCAGGACCTCTGGAAGAGCAGCCAGTGCTCTTAACCACTGAGCCATCTCTCCAGCCCTAATAACTTTTTTTTTTTTTTAATGAAAAGAGAATGATAGATTGTTTTTCCTCAAATCATTTCTCTGGACACCCAGCATGTGGCTGTTGTCTGTGGTCAGATAGGCTCCCCCGCCCTCTTCCGCCAGGTATGGAAGTAACATCTGGCTTGTGTGGAAAATGCCCAGGAGTTTGATGAGGGCAGGTGACACTCAGTCCTTTTCCTCACAGTTCAGCCCTTGGCAGGCGCCTCCACAACCACGACTGTAGTTTCTGCCTCCCCGCCTTGGCTATGAAGACATTCTCCTGTGGGCCCACATGTGTCTTCCAAAGTCTTTGTTGCAAATACCACTGACCACCGCGTTGCCCCAGCCTTGGAACCGGCCTTCCATTTAAACCTCTCCTTGTTGGCCCCCCAGGTGACCTGCCTCAGCACCTTCAAGTGATGATCAACCTCCTACGCTGTGAAGACAGAATTAAGCTGGTGAGAGCTGAGGGTGGACTCCAAATGCAGTGAGAGTCCTTCTCTAGCTGGATGTCTTCTCTTAGTGGTAGAGGCATCGCTGGGATGTAGGATGTCCTGGGTTCCTTGCCTAGCACCCCAAAGGGGCCAGCAGAGACGTCACATCTCCATGGCGTCTTATGCATCTGTGCTAAACGTGAATGTAACTTGCACATTTCCCTTGTGCCCCACTGCATGTAGTTGGCCGTCCCCTGTGCCAGGCACACGCTCCCTCTGGTCTTCCTCACAAGCACTTGGTCTTCATGTGGGTGGGGGTCAAGAACCGAAGCCCTTGGTCTTGGTTTGGCGGACAGAGGAAGGGAGCAAACCATCGAGGTGACCCCCTCCCTTGTTCACAGGCCGTGCGCCTGGAGAGCGTCTGGACTGACCGTGTCCGCTACATGGTGGTGGTGTACACCAGCGGGCGCCAGGACACCGAGGAGAACATTCTGCTGGGAGTTGACTTTTCCAGTAAGGAGAGGTGAGTCTCGGGGATGGCAGTTCCCATCAGAACAGGAGAGGAGTCACTGCTGGCAAAAGGCCTTCCTGGTGTCCTGGGGTGAGTCCCTCTGGAAGATGGGGGGCCACCCAGGCTCTGGCAACGGGGCATGCTTTTCTGACTCTCGCTTCCCTGCTGTCGGTAGCCCGCTGGAGGATGCACACTGCTCAGAGCCAGCGGCTGGAGAGGAGACGTGTGCCTGCTCTGTCTCTGCTGCTCTCCCAAAGTCCCCGGGGAGTTTACAGAGGAAAGGTGTTTATTTGGCCTGCTCTTTCAGAGGCTGCAGGTCTTAATGGGAGGCCTCTCTTTGGCCATGGGGATGACATCACAGTACTGGGAACACGTGTAGAAGAGATCACGTGGCGAGACAGGAAGCCAGCTGCGGCGGGAGCTAGGCTAAGCCAGCATGAATTCCCTCCGAGGGTGGAACCCGGTGCCATCTTCTACTGGGTCTCAGCTTATAAATGTACCACCTCCTCGATGCTGCCGATGTGGGGACCCAGTTTCTACAGATAGAGAGATTTGAGGGAGCCCTCCAACTTGTAAAGGAATCCTGCACAGGGAGGCTTCCTGAGTGTGTGTGTGACAGCGACTGTGAGCGTCAAAGGACAAGCTGGAGTCAGCCGGGAGGATGCCTCGAAGACAGACAGCCTGCAGAGGGGGATGTGCCTCGTAGGCCTTGTGTGAAGTGCTGGGTCCACTGGTGGTCTTCCGTAGATTGATGTTTGTTTTTGGAACATCCTTATGTGGAAGCTTTAAGGTTTGCAGTTCCCCAGGACTGGAGGCCAAGTAAATTTCAGCATGACATGAAGTGACCCTTGTGTGGGAGGTCATTGCAAACCCTAGATCTTCGCCCGTTACCCCTACTCGTTACTAAGTGGATGGGCTTTTGTCCTACCCTGTGCAGGAGGCAGCAGGCTAGGCCCCAGGTCAGCCGAGATGTCACAGCGCACATTGAGCTTAGCACAGAAGACCATGTCACCCCCCCCCGGGAAGGCGAGAGGCCAGGCTTCTGTGAGAGCACAGGCAGGTGGCCAGGGTGGGGTTTAAGGTCCAGTAGGCAGCGCGGTAAGGTCGGGTGTGTGGGGCGGCTGCTGGACCCGCATTGTGGTTCAGGCAGAGTCGGTAGCAAGAAGAAAGTGCCAGGGGCCACATGACCGCAGTTGGGTCTTCTTGTGGCCAAGCAGTCGTGTCATAAGCTGGTGACCAAGACTGTACTGCATGAAAACAAAGGGGGATAAATCATTCTGTGACTCCTCTTCCCGTGCCTCCTGGCATCGGGAGAAAGTTCGCTGTGGCACAAGGAAGGGAGAGGAGCTGCGTCTGTGACTCTGTGTGCCGAGGAATGATTTGGAAGAACAGCCGATGTGCTGTCTGTTGGTGGAGCAACTCAGAAGAGCCGCTGTGGGGTGGAGGTGCCAGCGAGAAGGTGCTCATAGAAGTGGGCCAGGCCGTCTTTTTGAGTGTGTGTGTGTGTGTGTGTGTGTGTGTGTGTGTGTGTGTGTGTGTGGTGTAACTCCTGATCCTCCTGCTTCAGCTTTTCATTTTCAGACTAGGGCATTCGTGTTGGGCAGTGTCGAAGTTACGGTTTTTCAGATGATGGCCCAGCCCTGTAGGAATCTTCTGGGGCAGGAATTTTTCTCACTCCATGGAGACCATTCTGGTAACCTATTCTGGTCCTGAGCAGGGGCCTGTCTCCTGTAGCCTGTTCCCCCATGTAGTAGTAGTTTCTCATCAGACCACCAGCCCACTGATAATGACTTATGGAGACTTATTATTCATTATGAAAGCTCGGCCTTAGCTTAGACTTGTCTCGTTAGCCCTTATAGCTTAAATTAACCTGTTTTGATGAATCTATGTTCTGTCGCGTACCGCCCATCCTGCTTCCTCCGTGTCCTCCCATCTCTGATGGACCTAGATTCCCCCCTCTCTCTCTCTACTCAGAAGTTCCGCCTCTACCTCCTGCCTAGCTGTTGGCCATCCAGCTTTTTATTGCCTCAATCACAGCAAGACACCTTCACATGGTGTGCAAATATCCCACAACACCCCTGCTCTGGTCCGTGCTGCGAAAGCCTCACGGGCCCAGTCTCCTCCTGGTCACCTCTGTTTGTGCAGCAGAGCACAGTGCTGTCCCCCAGCTCATCCCATGCACCCCATGGTCCTCGTTGTGCTTCAGGGGCTCAGAAAAGCTGAGTGGATGCACCAGGGTCGCTCAGGATGCATGGGGCGGGACTCAGGCTCAGTAGACCCCATTTGCATTAACTTTTCCTCAGGGGATGCAAATGACTGTCCAGTTGTCCCAGATGGGCACCAGTGGCAGACCTGAGTATGACCTCACCAAAATCCAGTTTGCTGAGTCCAGTGAGTTTATTGGACTTTCTTACAGAGCACTGGTGAGGGGGTGTAACCCCTAAACAGTTCCATTACCACCAAGTCCCACCTCGTGATGGATGGTGACCTCATGGAAACTGTGTCCTAGAGGCCGCTTTCAGTCAGCCATTGGCTTCTATGTAGACTCTGGCATCTCCCAAGGTCATGTTGGGCGGGGCAGCTAGAATCCCCAGTGACAGTCTCCTGGCCCTCCCTGGCAGTTCTCGTTACTGAAGATCTGCCTACCACCACACTGTTCTGTTCCAGTTGCTGTGGCACAGGGGCACCGTCTAAGAATGGCATCTTGTGACCGTAGGAAACGGTGCCGTATGACACCCTGTGTCTCTGCTGACGTTTGCAGTTCTCTGTGCATCCCTTGCTCGTTCACTCATTCGGGGACGTGCGTGTGCACTTGTTAGCCCTCCTCATGTGCTGGGAGTGCAGCCGTGTCCCAAGAGGCGTGGCCTGTACCGTTGCAGTCCAAGGTCACAGAAGGTCGTTAAACATGCTCCTATGCAACACAGCTTCATGCCTCCAGCTGCAGTCTGTGGGCTCCCACCCTCATCCCCACCCCATTCTGAGGCGTCCTGCCCGTCCTCACCACCTCTCGGCCTCTGGCTTTGGTTCTCATGGGTCCCTCTCTCCCTGTGGTCATTTTGCCTCTGCTGTGTGTCCACTGTCTCCCTCTCTAGGCCCTGAGCTAGAGCTACAGCCTGGCTGCAGGGTCAACCCCAGCGCAGTTGTAGACTTGTACAGGGCTGGAGAGATGGCTCAGTGGTTAAGAGCGCTGGTTGCTCTCCCAGAGGTCCTGGGTTCAGTTCCCAGCACCCACACGGCTGCTCACAAATGCCTATAAAACTGTAGTCCCTTGAGATCCGATGCCCTCTGCTGGTGTGCAGACAAAACACCCATACATAAAAGATAAGTAAATAATTAAAGTCAATTTTAAGAAAAATAGAAAGGGGTCAAAAGAAACTAAAGCCTTTTCTACAATGGGGACAGAGGCAACTGAGATACAAGTTCCCTATGCCTGGGCATGTCGCCAGGGAGGGGTGGGTCAGGACAGGACCGGCCTTCTCAGCTGCTTCTGTAGCGCTGAGTATCAGATTCCTATTCTCCCTGGGCCTCCCCAGAAGCCACTGCCCCACGAACGTAGTGATTCTCTTCTTTTCCTGAATTCTTGCCATGAGATTTTGTTTTCTTGGGGTGCTGTAAGTGTTAACCCCTGAGAGCATTCTCATGAGTTCCCAGGGAGAGAACCCACAAGGACCGTGTTTAAAAGGCTGTGTTAAAGCTGTGGTGGCTGCAGTCACCTCCTGGGACCTTCTCGGGGCTGACCTGGGCTTAACTTCTGTTTCCGGTTCAGGGGCAGGTTGAGTGCCGTGAGCTGGTGTGCCGCCCTCGCCCATCATTTCTTCCTGCTTTTGTAAAGACCATCCACCGCGGGGCTCTCTTCCCAAGCCTGTGTCTCCTGCTTGCACCTCTGGCCTGGCCCCGGTTCAGCCAGCTTCTTTGTTCTGGACCCACGGGGACCTGGGACCTGCTCCCCTCTCCCCCGGTTGCTCCTACCTGCTTCCTCCTTCAGGGCCGTTTGTCACTTGTGAAGATGCAGTTTCCCTAACCCAGTCCCTGCCCCACTTCCTGTGTGTCACCCCAGAGCTGCCTTCACTGTCCAACTTCATTGTGAGTTCCACGGGAATGCCCGAGAGTCACGGTAATGACAGCCGTGGCGATCGATGTTCACGAATTCATGAGATGGTTGCCATTACTGGTCAGAGTCACATAGCACACTGAGCCCTAGTCCTCCAGGGACATCTGTGCACTGGTGTGCCAATCACCTGCTTCTTCCACAAGGCTGGGTCTGAAGGAGGCCAGCTGATAGATAGAACTGTCTCATGTTTACAGTTTCAGCCTCTGCTTTCCCTGGCATGTTCCAGACCTGCCAACACATCCCAGGGTGCATACCCAAGCAATCTCTGTCATCCTAGGGCATCCGAAGGATGCCTTCTTGGCCTTGACACGGCCCAGTAGTCTTCAAAGCCCTGTGGGGCTCAACCGGCATCTCATTTTGCAGCCCCCCAAAGGAGATAGAGGGAGCCCTTTGCAGAAGGGTAGGATTGTAGGGGGGGTGGGGACGGTAGGCCATATCTCAAGTGGGAGTCCACTCCCTGAGCCCCAGAGCTCTAGTCACCCAGGCACAGGAAGAAGTAACATCCCACCCCCACATCCCACCCCCCTGCCTCCCTCACCACTACCCCTGCGCCCAGAGCTGTAAGCCATGCAGAGATAGACGCTTGGAATTTCTGAGAGCCGTGGGGCTGCCCTGGCAGAGTTGCAGCAGCTTCTCAAAAGCCAGCTCTTTAAATGCCTGGAGAGTTTTCATCACAATCTGAGGAGCCCCTCTGATAAACCTTCCCCTCTGTTTATCAGTGGCGCCAGTCTCCACCACCATCGTCGTCGGTGAGTATCATTTCACCGCTAGGATGGGCAAAACAGAACCGGATTGAACTGGCTTGCGGAGTGACAGGAACATAAAAGGCAGAGAGAGAGAGAGGTGTGAGCAGTGGAGGTGTGGGGACCCTCCCATCTCCTGTGACCCAGGACAGAAACCAGGAAGGGGCTGGCACTACCTGCCTGTGCACTGCCGTTGGGTGTGACACTCTATGCAGCGTGCGTGCGTGCGTGTGTGCATGAATGTATGTGTGTGTGCACGGTGTGATCAGATTGTGTGTGTGTGTGTGTGTGTGTGTGTGTGTGTGTGTGTATGTGTGTATGTGTGTGTGATCAGTGGCTTGCCCCAGGACCCCGAGAGCCCCCATCGTTGTGGAGTTAAAGCCACACCAAAAAACGGTTGAGATACTTTGTCACGCCCACTAGCAGGGATGCTCTAGGCCTGCGTCTTCTGGAATCCAGCAGTGAGTGGACACTGCACAGACAGCCTGGGAGCCCCTCCGCCCTACAGACCCCGCAGTTGGTGCCGGGCCAGGTGCTTGTAGCCTGAGCTGCTGGGCAAAGACACCGAGGGAAGACTGCGTGTACACAGGCAGATACTGACTCCAGTGTCTTCTCTTCCCCATGTAGCAAAAGCTGCACCATCGGAATGGTCCTTCGCCTGTGGAGCGACACCAAGATCCACCTCGATGGGGATGGGTACGGAAACGCCTTTAAAAGATTCTTTCCTGGGGGCTGGAGAGATAGCTCGGGTTCAGAGCACTGGCTAGTCTTGCAGGAGACCTGGGTTTGGGTGCCAGCACCCATGTGGCAGCTCATAGCCACCTGTAACTTAAGTTCCAGGGGATCCTACACCCCCCTTTTGACTTCCGTGTGCAACGGACATGCACTTGATAGACAGACCTACGTGTATGCAATCACACATTGACATAAACATGTTGTATACTTCATTATTTCCCTCTACACCGAAGCACCAACAGAGCCTGCATCTCTGGATAGCCTGGTGTGTGAGGTTACAGTCTAGTTGGGCCCAAGGGAAGGCCGCTCTGGCTGTTCTTTAGGGATTTGCTCAGGAAGTAGCACTGCGTGGTTGTCTGCACACCATGTCTGTTGCCGTGGAGCATACTTGCTGTGTTGGGTAAATCCTTCTGGGCCCTCCCAGGGCTGTGCCCCGGGAGTGCCCAGGTGAGTGAGACACCCCAGGGTAACTCCCATTTGGGGCGCCAAGGATGTAGCTGGCAGACACAGCGGAGTTCTCTGGGGGCCGCAGAGGAAGCATTCCCACCTTGGCCTGGGCAGGTTGGGGGCTGCAGGGCTGTCCATGCCACCTGCACTTACTCCTGGGGAAGTGCAGTGTCCATGTAGACGAGTGAGAGGGGAGCTGCCCTTGCAGTAGGGTTCTGGGACGGCCTCACAGCGAGAGCAGAGGGAAAAAGAAAGATCTGCTCAGGGCAAGTGCTGGGATCACGGGGGTGTTTTTTTAAGGTGGTGGTGTGGCGTGGTGGCGGGATACTTTAGATCTCGGCACCACCAAAAAAAAAAAAAAAGATACTTTTTTCCATTAACTCCTTTTTTTTTTTTTTTTTGAGCTGAGGATTGAACCCAGGGCCTTGCGCTTGCTAGGCAAGCGCTCTACCACTGAGCTAAATCCCCAACCCATTAACTTATTTTTATGTAAGAAAAAGAGGTGAGTGTATGGTGCTAGAGGCAGGTGACAGGACACTGGAGGCCACCCTGCTCACACTCAGCTTGGAAACAAGTCCTGATCCAAAGGAGTCTTTTGTCCCTGTCTGATGTGGCTTCTCTGCTGTCCCTTGTCAGACAGCAGGAGGCGTGCTGGTCCCAAGCCTGCTCGGGGTGGGGACTGTGGGGGGGTGACACTGTACCCACAGTCCGGAAGGTGACTAAGCATGCTGGTGTCCGATCTGGGGGCGTGGAAGCTGTGCCCAGAGTCCGGGAGTGACGTGACTGAAAGCCTGAATCCTCACGGTGTCTTTCCCGTTTTCCATTCTCAGCGGCTTCAGCGTGAGCACGGCCGGCAGGATGCACATCTTCAAGCCCGTGTCTGTCCAGGCCATGTGGTAAGTGTGCTTCGGGGGACTTTGAGCTCCTTGGAAAATGGTTCCTACCTGACAGCGTGATTAGAAAAATCACTTCTGTTTGGAAGTGTGTGTGTGTGTGTGTGTGTGTGTGTGTGTGTGTGTGTGTGTGCGCGCGCGCGCGCACGCGCTTGCATGAGGGACTGCAGGAGTGCACAGAGGCCAGAAGGGGGTGTGGGGTGCCCTGGAGTTGTGAGCAGAAGACCTGGGTTCAGGAGACTGAGGTTTTTTGCATGAGCAGCACATGAGTTAGTTATGTTTTCCTAACGACTGTTGACACTGACCATTTTCTCATAGGCATTTTATATTTGTGTGTCCCTGTTGGGAAATGATCTGTTTAAGTTCCTTACCCATTTTAAAAAATGTGTTAGTGCTGAAGAGGCAGCTTGACCTGTCGACCTGCTGAGTGCCATCCTGGCACAGACTCTCTGGCTCCGTCCACGTGGCGCCCAGTAGGTGCTTTTGTCTGTGCAGTGAAGGGACCAGCACTCTCCTCCGCTGCTGGAGCGGCCAGTGGCGAGGGGGTCATAAGAGAAACGTGAGACTCCTCTTGGAGTTTAAAGTGTCTTGAAGGGAGGTGCTCCGCACACGTGAAAGAACTTGTATGTCATGCCAGGACAGCTGGGCGGGTGTCCTCGTGGTGGTCAGGCCTGAGAATACCAGCTGTAAGGCCTGGATCCCGGCCGGGGAAGGGGAAGGCTGCCCCGACCCTCCGTAATGGCTGTGGGTGAACATGGCAGTGTCCACAGTTTCCTGAGCCAGCCTCCTCTTACAGCTCTGTCTTAGGCGTGTCCAGCCTGGGGTCCTGGGGCCACACATATTCACAGTGTGTCACATTGAAGTGTCTAAAAGTTGGACACACCTGTGAGCTAAACTGTTCTTGTAAAAGGGCTGCAGATCAGTTGGAATAAACGAGGAAAGACTTGGAGCTCGAGAAGCATCAGATACGCGTTTCCAAACGATTCTTGTCCAGGGCAGGGAGAGTCAGTCCGGAAGAGTTCTCTCACGGGCCACCTTAGTGCCGTCCCTCTCCTCCTCTGTTCCCCTAGGCCAACTCCGCTCAGGGTCACTTGAGGTGGGTGGGGGTAACGAAGTCAGTGTCCTGAGGATGATCAAACCAGTGATTGCCCCAAATGTTTCTGTGGGCCGCTGCTGCCTCTTTTCTCTCCAGCCAAGTTGTTATTGTTGTTATTATTATCATTATCATTACCATTATTTTGGTTTGTTTTGTTTTTGCCCCCATTTTTTTTTAATTCTTAGGAACCAGAACTGAATGTAATAAACGGTGGCTCAAGTTTCTTTCCCCCAACCTCGTTATGGAAAACGAGGCTGCTTGGGGTATCTGTGCACTGTCATGCAGACCCCCATCTGGTGACGCCCTCCCCTCAAGGGCCACTTCTGCCTTGGCCGACACCTCCCTCCCTTGGCAGCCTACTCACTGAGGGATTTTCAGCCTGAATTTTAAAGACCTTTCTCTCCCATCAGTTGGTGCCTGGAATACAGCCCTGCCCATACTCCAGGCTGCTGTGCCCTCAGAAACAGATCTCTGGAGTTGGTTGCTGGAATGTGACCCAGCCAGCTTGGGAGAGTTAGGGGCTAGGGGGTGGGGCCTGCTGCTGCCGGTGTTCATTTATTCCTTTAGAAATGATGAGGGTTATCCTGTCCACTTGTGAGCCTAGCTGACGCGGCCTCTGGGAACTGAGAGTTGTCCCTGGCTGCCGTGTGTCCCTCAAACACCTCGCGGGCAGAAAAGAGGCCTTTCTGCGTGGCCCGTCCCACTGCCGAGGGCTGAGTGTCCTTCGTGAGCTGCAGAGCCCACGCCCCGATTCCTGAGCATCCCTCTCCTCCCCCAGGTCCGCCCTGCAGGTGCTTCACAAGGCCTGCGAAGTGGCCCGAAGGCACAACTACTTCCCTGGGGGTGTGGCGCTCATCTGGGCCACCTACTATGAGAGCTGCATCGGCTCCGAGCAGAGCTGCATTAATGAGTGGAACGCCATGCAGGACCTGGAATCCACGAGGCCAGACTCCCCAGCACTGTTTGTGGACAAGTATGTGCAGGGGCTGCCTCCCCACACTGCCCAACCCGGGGTCCTCTCAAGGTCACACTGCCCAACCCGGGGTCCTCTCAAGGTCACACTGCCCAACACTGGGTCCTCTCAAGGTCACACTGCCCAACCCGGGGTCCTCTCAAGGTCACACTGCCCAACCCGGGGTCCTCTCAAGGTCACACTGCCCAACCCGGGGTCCTCTCAAGGTCACACTGCCCAACCCGGGGTCCTCTCAAGGTCACACTGCCCAACACTGGGTTCTCTCAAGGTCACACTGCCCAACCCGGGGTCCTCTCAAGGTCACACTGCCCAACCCGGGGTCCTCTCAAGGTCATTCTTCCCTGCAGCCCCTTGACTGAGAGCCCCTTCCTAGAGCAGGTAAAACTTAACCTGAGTCTGTGGCTCTGAAGCAGCGGTTCCCAACCTTTAATACAGTTCCTCACAGTGTGGTGACCCCCAACCATAAAATTGGTTTCATTGCTACTTCATGCTGCTGTTATGAATCACGATGTAAATATCCGTGTTTTCCTATGGTCTTAGGCGACCCTAGTGAAAGGGTCATTCACCTTCTAAAATGTCAACCCACAGGTTGAGAAACGCTGCTCTAAAAGAAGGGATTGTGTTCTCTCTCTCTCTCTCTCTCTCTCTCTCTCTCTCTCTCTCTCTCTCTCTCGTACTCACACTTGCACTTTAAAAACCATTGTGGGGGGCACTCCTGGACTTCAGTCAGACTGCCACAGGAGTATGCCGCTCTGTATGCCCCCTGTATCTGTTTGTGCTCTGGGCCCAGACCTTGTCCCCACAGGTGGGTAGTAACAAATTCAGTCCAGTATGCTGGTGTCTTGGTTCAGAGGGCTGTGTGCCTTCACAACTTCCTCAATAGAGAGAGTGACCTGAGGCCGTGCTCTCTGGCTTTTCAGTGATCACAGTCCCTCAGAGGGAGGTGTCGGCTGGGAGACTAGTTTTAAGAGAAGAGTTGCTCAGATGACCCGACACCACCAAGAATTTATGAGAGGAAATGGAATGATGATGGCCCCTTGAGACCTTGGAAGTCACTGGGGAAAGGATTGTCCCAGTCTCCATGGCCCTGGGAGTTAATTAGCAGGGCTGGCGTGTAGACTTCACAGGGATTTCACAGACTTGGGTTCTGTGTGAGAACTCTTGTAGCAGTGGCCCAGGGAGGAGTGTCGGGTGGAGACTGATGGCCCAGGGCTGCGGGATGTTGGCGGTTACAGTGTGTGGCCTGTAAGGAGCCCGTCCCCTCCCTGCCCACTGCCCTGCTTTCTTTCCACACCGGACTCCTCCTGTGGGGACTGGAGGTGGGGCTTCTCCACACCCACCCACCGTAGCCTGTGCCTGCACAAGCTGAGGTCAGACCCGCGAGGGTCCGATGTCCCTCTGAGGCTTCCGTCTCTTAGTTCTACAACTTCCTGTCCATTTTCTTCCTAGGCCGACTGAGGGGGAACGAACTGAGCGTCTCATTAAAGCCAAGCTCAGGAGCATCATGATGAGCCAGGACCTTGAAAATGTGACCTCTAAGGAAGTAAGAGTCCCCTTCCCTCCCCTAGCCCATCGCAGGCCCAAGCCCAGGACCTTTTGGTTTTCCCATGTGTCCGTTTGTCCGCCCTGGGGGCTCCCCTGTACTTTGCTCTGTGGTGGTACTAAGATGTGGAAAGCCCAGGCTTAAGAGTTGGGCTTTAGTCTGATTCTGGAGACCACGAGCAGATTGTCGGCCCTCTCTGAGCCCTGGGGACAGGTGTAGAAGGTCCTAAGTTCCTTGAAAAAGCCTCAGCCTTTCCGTAACCTTTCCTGCTTTTGTGTGTCCCCTTGGCCCCCTGCCGTATAGGAGATTCAAATCTCGGGCTGCTCCCTCTGCCTTATAAGCCCTCTCTGATCAGTTTTTCTGTTGTCCATTGCTTTGGGGGTACGGGGGGGATGCTGCGGGAATTAAAGAGATGGCTTCTTGGTTAAGAGCATTAGCTGCTGTTGCAGATCATTCCCAGGAGATAGCTCACAACCCCATCTGTAACCCCATCTCCAGGAGATCTGACGCCCTCTGCTGGTCTCTGCAGACACTGCATGCACACGGTGCACAGACACTCCCTACAGGCTGAACACTCGGGCCGTTCTAGAGGCTGTGCGTGGGGGGCTAGAGGCTGTGCGTGGGGGGCTAGAGGCTGTGCGTGGGGGGCTAGAGGCTGTGCGTGGGGGGCACACACGTTAATCCTAGCACTAGGACAGAAGTTCTCTGTGACTTCAGGACCAACCTGGTCCTACATAGTGAGACTCGGTCTCATAAAATAAAAATCTTAGCCGGGCGGTGGTGGCGCACGCCTTTAATCCCAGCACTCGGGAGGCAGAGGCAGGCGGATCTCTGTGAGTTCGAGGCCAGCCTGGTCTACAGAGCGAGTTCCAGGAAAGGCGCAAAGCTACACAGAGAAACCCTGTCTCAAAAAAAAACCAAAAAATAAAAAAATTTTAAAAAAAATCTTAAATTTAAAAAAAATTTATTGTACTTATGTATATATTTAACTGGGGCCGGGGTGGGGTGGACAGCGCATGTGAGGGAGAGAAAACAGCTTGCAGGAGTTGGTTTTCTTCTTCCGCTGTGTAGATTCTGGGGCTCGAACTCAGGTAGTTGGGTTTTCGTGGCTGGTTCTTTTTACCTGCTAAGCTCTCTTGACGTTCCTATCTGTTGTTGTTCATTTGAAGGATACAGTAAATTATAGGAGGTTTAAAGGGCCCATTCATTTATTTATTATTTTGATGTTTTTTGAGTCAGGATCTCCCTCTGTAGCTCAGGCTGGCCTGGAACTCACTCTGCACCGCGCCCCCCCCCCCCCCCCAGGCTTGCCTCAACCTCAGTCTTCCTGCCTCAGCCATGAGTCCTCATGTTTAACTGATAATTACTTTAAAAAAATCATAATGTGATACCGTCTCCAACAGGAAAGTGACATTACCTTCTCGCTGCAGTATTTTTGGTACTTAATTGTGAAAAATGAAAATGTTTTAAACTCAGTAGAAAAGATCTTAGGAAGAAAACAAAATCTAATTTCCTTGTTGAACACAGTGGGCTTCCTCCGGTTGGGTTCAGTTGGAGGTGGAGGGAAGTGAATGCCCGCAGCCCACACAGATGTGCTACCTGTGTCTAAACGCATTGTCCTGGGCAGAAGAAAGGGGACAAACCCACCCTTTCTGTGACCAGCACTGTGCAGAGGTGGGCGGCTCTCTGGGCAGATCACCCCTCCTGGGTTCCGCCCAGCATCACCTCTGCTCTGTCCCACCCACAGATCCGCAATGAGCTGGAGAAGCAAATGAACTGTAACCTGAAGGAGTTCAAGGAGTTCATCGATAACGAGATGTTGCTCATCTTGGGCCAGATGGACAAGCCCTCCCTTATCTTCGACCATCTTTATCTTGTAAGAGGCTCAGCCCCTGGTGGATGCTGGTTTGGGAACCGTGCTCAGAGACACGTGCTTACAAATTACAAAGCCCCAGAGTTGTGCCTTGGCATCTACCTGAAACACAGCGGAGCTGCTCCCCTCTGAGCCCTGCTCCCAGAGCCCACTGAAGGGTCCAACCCCCCCACCATGTCGCCCGTGATGCCTGGGTACCTCCGGCTCAGTGTCTTCATGCCATAAATCTCCATAGAAGGCAACTGGCCAGTTTTCAAAGGCAAGCAGGTTGTTAAAGTTAGCCAGGAGAGCATGCGGTCCAGTTGAAAGTCAGACCTAGCAAGGCCAAGGTCCCCCTCCACCACCTCACCTGCCCTGTGGCCCGTGGTGAGTCCTCTTGCCTCTGCACTTCGTGGGGTGATAGTGATGGTTAAATAAGATACATTCTGGGGGTGACAAGTGCAGTTTCTATAGGCCTGGTTTTGAATATGAATGGTAACTATGGTTAGAAGAGTAAATGTTTCTTACAGGAGCGGCTGGCCTCTGAGGAGAACAACCTCTTCATAAATACATAAACACACACACATGTATATGTGTGGGCTTGTAGTGGGGACAGAGGGTTTTTGAGACAGGAGCTCACTCCATAGCTCAGGCTAATCCAGAATTTGTGATCCTCTGCCTCAGCCTCCTGAGTGTTGAATGTATGTACTTTTTATGTTCGTGTTTATATGTGAATCTCCCTGCATGTACAGATTGCATGCTTTATCCACTGAGATGTGAATGGGTGGGTTTGAATCACTTCGAAAGACAGGCAGGGTGTGCTGGCAGGCCGACCTGAGGGCAATGGGAAGGCCTGTCCCTCCACTCTCTCCACTAGGTGGTGATCATGGCCAGAGGACTCCCAGCTCCCCTGGAGCTGCTGGAGTTTGGGGAGGCTTGGTGCCTTGTGTCATTCTTTCCATGAGAGATATTAAAGGAATTTTGATGAGTGAGGCTGTCCCTCAGATATGGAAATCCAGCTCACATTGCAGGATGCCAGCATGGTCAGAGCCCGGGTCGCAGTGGACCTGGGAAGCTCAGGAGACGAAGTCAAGAGGAGACTGAGATACCCGGGCATGCTTGCCAGGACTGCAGGCCTCCGCATTCTCCGTAGTAGCGATGGCTTCGTTGTGTTTCTCGTCTGTGTTCTTTGAATGATCAGGAAGAGAGGAGTTTTTAATGATACAGTTTGTATAAGTATACAAGTATCCAATCCTAGAGGAGTTTTTAATGATACAGTTTGTGTAAGTATTCAAGTATCCAGTCCTGCGTTCTGCAGATAGTTGGGAATAGAAATCATGTTAAGGATTTGAAGGGTAGTCCCAATCTCCCATGTTGAGGTTGTCACTCATAGCATTTTGATGTGTTCATTTTTCCAGTTTTCAGTTTCTTGTAGTGTTAGGATTGGAACTCAGGCCCTGAGCGCTGAGTTCCCCTGATGCCTGTATAGAGGGACTGTGCTCACTCTGCTCGGGTGGGTAGACACTGTTCTTCTTTGTTTATTCCATTTTTCCTTACCAACATGATGATTTATTTGTTTTATTTCTGGATGGTTTTTTTGGTTTTTCAAAACAGGGTTTCTCCGTGTAGGTAACTCCAGCTACCCTCGAACTCACTCTGTAGACCAGGCTGGCCTTGAACCCAGAGAACCATCTGCCTCTGCCTCCCAAGTGCTGGGATTAAAGGTGTGTGCCACCACCACCTGGCTTGTTTTGTTTTGAGACCAGGTCTTACTGGATACTCCTGGCTGGCCTTCAATTTCGAATTCATGGCAATCCTCCTGCCTCTGCCTTTTGGAAGTGGGATGGTTTCTTTGGAAGAGCCCATCCTAAGGATCTCTTGTCATTTATCTTATGGTTTCATCCTGGTAGACCTTTGGGTCCCCGTTATTTTCCTGTGAATAACCGTAAATGCCGGTGTTCCTAAGTCTCTGTGTGAGCTCCAGTCATCCCTCAGGATCAGAGGGTGAGGACTTTAAAATTAATACCAAAATACCTGCCAGGAAAGGAGCAGGGTCCCCTCTGTAGCTGATGATGAGGTTGTAGGTCACTGCCTGTGGTGGCTGTGCCCATGCTGGCTAAGAAGACTGGGGGGACGTGAAGCAAGCTTCCATGAACTGGGGGGTTGGCAGGGTCTGCTTCCTCTTAGACTCCTGCCTCTCCCTCTCCTGGGCCTTTCTGGTCCTTCTTTCTGCTCTGAGGCTGAGGCCCCACTCTCAGGGGCCCTGTGCATCCCACAAGCAGCTCTGTGACACTCACAGGGGTTTGTGTGATCTGTCCCCCAGGGCTCCGAGTGGAATGCATCCAATCTGGAAGAACTGCAGGGCTCAGGGTGAGTCTGCTCCCCACATCCCCCATCGCTCCAGGCAGCTTAGGCGGTCGCTGCTCTGTCGGGGAGGTTACGGACCTTGGCCCGCCCACCCTAATTGCCTCAGCCTGGTCTCTGCAGTGGCTGGAGGGTCTCATGTGCTTCAGAATGCTGCCCAGAGTAATCCATGGGTTCTAGATTTTTTCCTGGAGTCTTAGGTGACTTGGGGGAGGTGGGGATTTGGGAACAGCTTAATCACCCTGGGAATGGAGGATGGCCTGGCCCTGGGCAGGCTCTGAGCTCCCTCCCACAGCCTCACTCCCCAGCAGAATTGCTGAGAACCCTAGTGTAGACGCACATCTCTGTTGGCCTTTTGGCCATCAGCAACCCTGAAAACTGGACCACTCCTGGCAATACTTGGTGCCTAGTGGGACTCTTGTGACTGAATACTTCCTGCTGGGCAGAAACTTGCCTGTCTCTGAGAAATGCTCAGCTGCCAGAGTGAACCTTTAAACCAAACCCTTCGAGAAAACAGTCACAAAAGCACCGTTCTGTGGTCTGATGTGCCTGCCAGCCTTCTGGAACTTACTGCAGTTGAAAACCGAGACTAAACAGAGCTTAAAATACATCCTTAGAACCTCTGGTCACAGTGTGTCCCCCACCCCCCAGCAGAGTCGTTGTCCAGTGAGAGGCTAGGCTTCATGCTTCCGTCTTACTGGAAATAAATACGTGATTCGTTATCATTTATGGCAAAACCTATTTGAGACATTTTCCAATGACCAAAATTGTTTTGGTTTTCTGGAAATGAATGTACTGGTTAAGGGTGAGGGGCTGTGGCGTTTGGGTTAGCAGATGCTCTCAAATAGAACCTGAGTGGTAGAAGGACACACTCTGCTCCTTAACAAAATTAGAGTGGAGGCCTCTTGTTTTTTTTTTAATACATTCTTGTCATGTGGAGGAAACACACGAAGATGACTGTTAAGAAAAAAAAAAAAAAATCTCACCAGGAACATATGCTCTTTAGTGTGTATATAAATTAATTTTTCTCCGCCAGTATTTTGTTCCTTTATTTTTCCCCTTCCTCATTCTGATTCTCTAGGCTATTTGCTTCTTTCCTCTGCAGGGTTGACTACATTCTTAATGTCACTAGAGAAATAGACAACTTTTTCCCTGGCTTGTTTGCGTATCATAACATCCGAGTCTACGACGAGGAGACCACAGACCTTCTTGCCCACTGGAACGAAGCGTATCATTTTATAAACAAAGCGAAGTAAGTGTTCGGGGAGCTGGCCTTAGGAGGAACAGGCGGACAGAAATGAGTGGCAGGCTAGGTATGGAAGCTAGCCCCGATGTGGAAGTAAGCAGCCTTGCTCCTGGGGTAGGTGGTCGAGATGCAGAAGTCTAGTGCCGGGAGAGACTTTGCTGTCTGATGGATCTTTGGCTTTAGCTGCAGGACACCAGGCACAAAGTGGGGAAGTAATGACCTCCACAGGATGCCCTCATGTTCTCTCCTGCCTGCCCATGATTATGACATTGAGCCCAGTTTTCATCATTAACACTGATGCCAGGCCAGTGTCCAATACCAAGTGCCACTGGCGAGCTCTCTGGGGCATCCCGGAAAGGACCAGCACATGCTGGGCCTTGAGTTCTTGGATAGTTCCCCCAGAGAATACAGGCTGTAGTTCTGTGTTCCTGTGTGCCTAGAACAGGGCAGTCCCAAGATGGGGCCATCTCCACTGTCCCTGAGCCCAGGCCCCTCCTTATTCTCCTTTGGAGCAATTGTGTTGAAATCCAATGCATAGACACCCCATCACCTACCCCCCGTGCTATGGAGAAAAGCCCTCTTCCGCTGGAGTCTCCCAGTCAAAGCTACAAGGTGTGTCCTTACCAAATGCTTCTTCTCTTGCTTTCCCAGGGCACAGACTCCAGGCTCCTTGCTTATGAATGTAGAACTCAGGAAAGAAGGGTGCTGTGGGGAAGGGATTGAACACCTAGTGTAGGAAGCTGGAGCCCACTCACCCCCACCCCAGCTTTTCCCAGATGCAGCCTCTGCCAGCCTGGCATGCCTTCACCCTCTCCACCAAGGAGAGGGTCATTGTCCCCTGTGTATCTCGTAAATCAGCTGCACCCGGGCCAGCACCACCTCCTTACAAGTACCCGGATCGATTGGCCCCATCTTCCTCCTGGCTCGGTTCTCTCTTGGCCAGATTGTCTCTCACTCCCTCCGGGCGCTCACTGTCTCCCCAGGGTGTAGCATGTTCGCCTTGCTGACCCCATTTTCTATAGTCGCTCACTCAGGGCCTCCGTCTGCTGCAGCAGCTGAGTGGCTTTTGCAGACATCCCTTTAGCTGTCCAGGTGCTGCCGAGGAAGCAGCTGTAGGTGGCCTCACAGATTCCCAGCAACGAGGGAGACTGTTTTGAAGCAGGCCCTGGGATGTTGGGACAGGCTGTGCGGATTCATCTGTTCTCCCATTGTGTGCTAATTGATTTCACAGTGGAGTTATTTCCTTTAGAGGGTGTGTGAGATCTGTTCCATAAACATTAGGACAGAGAAGGGTTGGAGCTATGTGATAACTTTAGGGCTTTTAAAAAAAAAATCAGGTTAGTAAAACCCAAGTGGTAAGTCAGGGAAGGCTCTAAATCCTTGCTCTTAACACTGCCCCTCCCCCCAAAATCCCTGCAGAAGGAATCATTCCAAGTGCCTGGTCCATTGCAAAATGGGCGTCAGCCGATCCGCATCCACGGTCATAGCCTATGCGATGAAGGAATTTGGCTGGCCCCTGGAGAAAGCGTATAACTATGTCAAGCAGAAGCGTAGCATCACACGGCCCAACGCAGGATTTATGAGACAGCTGTCTGAGTATGAAGGCATCCTGGATGCAAGGTGAGTGAATACCTAGAGACAGGCTGGCAGACCAAGCTGGCCTCGCCAGCCTGGGCATCCCACTCTTCTCCTGTCGGCCTGGCAGGAGCCTCCACAACTAGAAGCCAGCCTCTCAGGGGAGCTGGCTTGTAAAAAAGCAACTATTGTTTGGGCTGTGATTAGTGGTTTCCAGGAGGGATCCGTTTTGATTTTGTTGGCACGCATAGAAAACCTGTCTTGCCGGGCGAGGGAAGGTGCCTAACTGCTCATCCAGGGCATGGCCTGGTATGTGGTGTGGGCCTGAGCATGTCCATTTCCTAAGTACCTGCTTTGTGCCAAACTCAGGGGCTGAAGAGGCCCATGGGTCTGGTTCACCACAGACGAGCCTGGTAACCTCCTCCAAGCCCAGTCCCCTGTTCTGCGTGAAGGATTTGACACCCAGGTTATCTATCAGATGCTCGTGGCCCCTCAAAAACCTAAAAGTAGAACCATTGCATGATCCAAAAATTCCACTTTGCCGTGTACACCCAGAAGGCTGGAAATCCGGAGACTATAATGGGGTTGTTTGTATTGATGATAGTGTTATTCACAGTAGGCCAAAGGTGAAGGCTGCCCACGAGTCCATTGGCGGATGGGTGGGTAAGCAAACGGAGTGCATATAGGAATCTTCCTCTGCCTGCTGAAGGAGCTCCTGGTGGTAGGTGAGGCTGCTTGGGGAACTAAAGCTAGAAGATTGCCTGCCCCAGAAGTTCAAAGCTAATCTCTCCCATCTCCTTCCCGCCCCATAAAGAGGAAGGAAAGGGAAATTTTGGCATGTGTAGTACACCCTGAACAAACGTCGGAGCCACCAGGAAAAGCTCTGTGGCCCCAGAGGTGGAGAATGTGGTGTTGGTGGCCACAGGCTGGAGAGGGGACAGTTCAAGTCCGATGGCTGGTAATGTTTGTTGTGTACTGTGAACAGTTGTGGAGAGGGATCACGGTGCGGTGTTGTTGAATGTGTCCCGCAAGGCTGACATAAAAATGGTCAGGATAAGCCGGGCGGTGGTGGCGCACGCCTTTAATCCCAGCACTCGGGAGGCAGAGCCAGGCGAATCTCTTTGAGTTCGAGGCCAGCCTGGTCTACAAAGCGAGTTCCAGGAAAGGCGCAAAGCTACACAGAGAAACCCTGTCTCGAAAAACCAAAAAAAAAAAAAAAAAATGGTCAGGATGGCACGGCTTACTGCCGTCTTAAAATTGACGGGGCTCTGTGAGGTGGCACCAGCAATCACTACAGGTCCTTGGCAAGCTAACCGCTCCTAAGTTAATACATGTGGCTGCTAAATCTGTCTCCCACCTCAAAGTTCGGCTCCTCGTTTTACAAGCGAGCAGAAGAGGCCAACGCTGAAAGATTAACCTGTCTCCTGTCACAGAGTCAGCTTCTGGGTGCCAAGAGAGAGATTTACACCCACATGTGTTGACTGCTGTAGGAGGCAACACTTGATGAGCGGGGGGGGGGGGGCCCTGTCAGGGTGGTGAGGGTTCCCCAGCAGTCCCAGGCTGCTGGGACGGATGCCAGTATCGGAGGACTCACTTTCTCCCTGCTCGATGTCCAGTCTGGGCAGAAGTAGCCGCCTGATTGTTTCTGAGTGGGGTTGGAAGGAATCCAGAAGCTAAGTCCTTCAGCTCCTCGGGCAGGTTTAGGGAGGTGGGACTGCTCCGGCAGGGATGAACAGGCACGGAGGTCCGCTGCAGCCATCTCTGGACCGTTTTTTGCCGTCATTCATTCGGAGCGTGTCCCTCAGGTCCCTAGGCAGCGGCAGGGAGAGGAGGGAAGTAGGCACCCTGCTCTCCCTTAGCCTCTCAAGTCCCCGACGCCTTCCCGCGCCACAACCCAGCTGAGGGTCTCCCACGGGCCCACAGCAGGCACAGCGTGGAGCCTGGATTGCAGCCGGTGTCTGGTCTGTCAGGGGGGCACACAGGGCGACGGACTGTGACTGTGATGAGCCCCTGCACTGCAGGACAGCAGCGCTCCTCAGTGGGGGGTGCTGCTGTTGTTTCTCCATCACACCCCCACAGTGAGGGTTTTACTCCGAAGTCCTCGGGAGGTGGAGGTGACCTCAGCAATGGCCTCTGTCACTCGAAAGTTTTTTCTCTCTTTCATTCTTGGCTTATACCTTCAAACATGTTATTTGCCCCTAACGTAGCAGCTGTTGACAGTTGATGGCTTCTGGGGCAGACCCCTGGGCCGCCCATGTTCTTGTGGATCCCCTACACCTGTGAGTAAAATGGCAGCTCAAACTGGGCTTTGGAGCCTGTTTTTTTTGTTGTTGTTGTTGTTTTTGTTTTTCCGAGACAGGGTGTCTCTGTGTAGCTTTGAGCCTGTCCTGAAGCTCGCTCTGTAGACCAGGCAGGCCTCCAATTCACAGAGATCCACCTGCCTCTGTCTCCCGAGTGCTGGGATTAAAGACGTGCGCCACCAACGCCCGGCGAGCCTGTTTTAGAAAAAGGACACAAACTGGGGGCAGTGGAAGCTGGGGTGAATATGATAAAATATACGGTATGAAATCCTCAATAATTTGTTTTTAAAAAAATACTGTCTTTTTTTAATGCCATAAGAATGAGTATGTAGCCCAGTGATAGAACACTTACCTGTAAGGCACACGGCCTTGGATTCTATCTCCATATAAAAAAATAATAAAAATTTCAGAATTCATTCAAGCCAGGCATGTGATCCCAGCAATTGGAAGGAAAAAGTAGAAGAACCAGGAACTGGAGGTAGCCTTGGCTACTTAAGTTTGGGGCTAGCCTGAGCTACATAGACCTTGATTCTAAAAAAAAAGAAAAGAAAAGAAAAAGAAAAAAAGAGGAAATCATGGAAAACGGACCTGTGGTTTCTGCCTGAAACAAATACTTATGGGTTTTCTGGGATCTTCCCTAGTAAGGTCATGTTCACCTCGATACCCTAGTGTACAGAGAACTTGACACCCCCTCGGCTTTGACCCCTGAGTTTTCTCACACTGTTACTCTCATGGGTCATAAAAACTGAGTGAGAGCCAGGTGGTGGTGGCACATGCCTTTAATCCCAGCACTCGGGAGGCAGAGGCAGGCGGATCTCTGTGAGTTCGAGGCCAGCCTGGTCTACAGAGCGAGATCCAGGACAGCCAGGGCTGTTACACAGAGAAATTCTGTCTCGAGAAACCAAAAAACACACAAACAAAACAAACTGAGTGAGCGCCGTCGGTGACAGGACTCGACTCACACGGTAAGGTGAACACAAGCACGAAGACACCGACCTCCCGTCAGAACTCCCTCTGCCACGTTGTCACCACGGGGCAGATGTTGTCACCACGTGGCTAACGGCCCCGAAAGGCTCCTCATGTGGGTGGTGGTGACGGAGGGTGCTCTCCTCCCTGCGTGCCCAGGTGAGTGGACGGAGGGGAGCTCTGCCCGCTGATCCCGTCTTGACTCAGGCTGTCCCCTACCTGTCCTGCCAGGACCTGCTGCTGCCTCCCTCTCGGCTCACCTCCTGCTCTCTCTCTCCCCACAGTAAGCAGCGGCACAACAAGCTGTGGCGCCAGCCGCCTGCCGAGGACACTGCAGCAGAGCCCAGCGTGTTCTTGCCAGAGACCCTGGACGACACCCTGGATACCCGGCTGCCGTGCGTGGAGGATACCACCCAACCGGGGCTCCCGGGAAGCCAGGCCCCGGGAGGACCCTCTCTCCCCTGTTGTTTCCGGAGACTCTCGGACCCCCCCCTCCTCCTCCCCCACCACGATGACGCGGGCGGCCTGGTCCACTTAGAGGATCTTGAGAGGGATGCTCTGTTGGAGGATACAGCTCCGCCCACAGAGGTGCACAAGCTGGTTCAGCATCCTCAGGAAGGTGCCAGGCTCTGTGAAAAGGACGTAAAGAGGAAACTGGAGTTTGGGAGCCCCAAAGCCCGAGGTGGCCCTTTGCCACACGTGGAGGAGATGGAGAAGGGGGCTGACCAGAGAACAGGGAGGTGGAGGCGGGCCTCCACCCAGCTCGATAGAAGTTTGCTTGACCAGGAAAACCTAAACAACAACAACAGCAAGAGAAGCTGTCCCGAGGACTTTGAGGTAGGTGGTGGAGGAGGGGACCGTTGTAGTCCGGGAACAACATGCCACATCGCTTCTGCCCCACCCCGCAGAGCACCTTTCTGGCCTGCCCTGCGGGGCTGCTGTTCTCCCTTCAGCCCACAAGAGTTTATTTCAGGGGGGGACTGCTGCTACCTGACTCTGTAGCATGTGCCTAGCTAGTGGATATGCCGTGCGTGAGGGGTATCTAAGCCTTGTGATTTCAGGGTCTTGGGACACTGAAGTAGAAAGTTGGTTTGTAATTAACATTCTGCTCCAATGCTAAGCAAAAAAACAAAAACCAAAAACACCTAACCGCCCCAGGCGGTTTATCTGCTTGCTGGCCTCTTAAGTAATGAAATACGTTCCAGACCAGAAAGGAACTACATGCCCCCGACACGCACACTGCCCGCCACTTCCCTCAAAGAAGACAGATGACATAAAATGCCTTTGTCTGGGACAGTGGTGCTGTGGTTAGGTCCAGTGGCCTGACTGTGAGTCACCGGATGGTGACCAGGGAAGCAGCGTGGTGGGGGCTCAGTGGACTCAGCACCAGGACCCACGAGGACTGGACCTGGAGACAAGCAGCCGTTTGTATGTCCGACTCGTATGAACTGTGGTGTGCTGGGCTGCCCTGTTCTGTGTCTCTTAGCCCCACGTGTACTGGGGGAGGGGAAGGCAGACTTGTGAGGGAGGGCACAAGGGAGGACAGAGCTTGACCCGAGGGGGCGGTAGGTCCGTCATGGCCTGAGGGAGGGCAGCTGGCTAGGGACAGGCTGAGAAGCAGTGCTGTCTTGCAAGTCAGGATCTGGGCAGCGAATCCGGTGTGAGGGACAGGAGCTGCATGTCCGTGTCGTGGTGGGCAGTGGTGAGAGGTGCAGGTGGGGAGTGGCTGGGGCCTCCCTGGCGTGTTGGTGAGACTCTGTGTGGTGTTCTGGGGACACCGACAAGCCAGGCTGGTGGACAACAACAGAGCCTGTGAGCCCGAGACTGGAGTTGGCCTCACAGAATGGTATTAACCTCCTGGAATCATCGGAAGAGCGTTCACCCAGGCTCAACCTGTAGCAGAGTTCTAAGACGCCCTCCACAACCGTCTTCTGGAAGGCTCCTTTTCCCGCCAGCTGTGGGCTCTCACCGTCGGGCAGCTGGGAACACGCTGGCTCCCTCAGCTACCTTTCTCCTCACCTCCTTCATCGTTGATCTGCCTTTGAGCTGGTGCAGGGTGGTCCTGCTGGGGAGGGCAAAGAGAGAGACGTCCTTGTCCCATTCACTGAGGCCCCAGTGACCAAAGGGCAAAGATGTCCTTGGGAGACCGTGTAACGTGTAGTTTCATGTGTTTGAGTTTTTGTTGGAGACAGTCCGAGAGCCATTTCTGCCGGGCCACCCGTCATGGTGAGACCATGGCAGGTTGGTGGTTCCCAAGTTAGGCTTTAGGCTGTCCGGGAAGGGCTCTGTCTTCAGACCGCAGTTACCCCGGTTCAGATCCCCCCTCAGCCAGGGAGAGCCTCCCCTTCTGTGCTGCGTTGGATTTGTTTGCTTTTTAAATTCTAGTCGCTTTTGTTTTTAAATGTTATTCTGAGTGACGTGGCGGCGGTGTGTGGGTTCATACACGCAAGTGCCAGTGCTCGTGGGAGCCAGAGGCGTTGGCTACCCCGCAGCTGGAGTTAGACCACGAGCTGTCTGACGTGGGTGCTGGAGATTGACCTCAGATCCTCTGGAGGAGCATGAGCTGGCTCTCCAACCCTGTCACTCTGTCCTCCAGAACGGATGATGGCTAGGGCAGGGTCAGCTTGGCGGATGGTATAGACAGATTGAGAAGGGAGGGTGCTAGGAGACTCTGTCCCAGCCCTGTGGCTTAATTAAGGTTTGCCCAGGACGTCGTCTTGACTTGTGGAAAGTCAAGAAAGATTGACCTCTCTTAGGCCACTCTGACCTCTGTTCTTCATGATCCAGTGTGTTCTGATGAAGGTCTCTAATCCTGAACAAATGAAATGAAAGCCGCTGCTCCCCGCCCCCCTACACACACACACACCCACACACACACACACACACACACACACACACACACACACACACACACACACACACAGCCATCCAGCCCTACCCACCCCCTCCACAGAGGACCTCTTTGTGCTTTTCTTTGGCTTGGGATCACGTTTGCTCATGGTACTCTGTCTCTTGCAGCGCGATGCCGTGTTTGGGATCCTCAGTAAAGTGAAGCCTTCCTACACATCCTGTGCTGACTGCATGTACCCCGCGGCTGGCGGGGCTCCCGAGGCCTTTGCGGAACGGCATGAAGACCCCGGTGCACCTGCCATCTGCACCCAGCCAGCCTTCCTGCCCCATGTCGCATCCTCCCCGGTGGCCCACACGAGCAGCAGGTCCCAAGCTTCAGAGAGGCTGGCCTCTGGTCCGGCCAACACCCCCCCATTCCTACTACCAGCAGGCTCGAGGAAGCCAGACGTTGCAGTCGGTGGATCTGCAGCTGGGGCTTCCCCAGAACCACCACCGGCAAGCCTTCTAGAGCCTTCCAGAGAAACCTCCAAAGCCCTTCCAAAGTCCCTCCTGTTGAAGAACTCTTACTGTGATAAGCATGCCGCCGTCAGCGGCGTGGAAATGGTGAAGGAAGAATCGCCAGCTAAGAAAGACCCGAAGCCCGCAAAGGACCTGAGGCTTCTGTTCAGTAACGAGGCGGAGAAGCCGACCACCAATAGCTACCTAATGCAGCATCAGGAGTCCATCATCCAGCTGCAGAAGGCGGGCCTGGTCCGAAAGCACACCAAAGAACTGGAGAGATTGAAGAGCGTGCCTTCAGACCCACCATCCACCAGCAGGCTGGAGGCTAGCATCCCCGAGGAGGGCCAGGAGCCTTGTCACCCAGCCCTGTGCAGCCAAGCAGGGACTGAAGAGAAGCCTCCAGAAGGAACCTTGGTGAAGAGCCCTACGCCTACCCTCCTCCGCCTAGATCACACCAGTAACTTCTCGAAAGACTTCCTGAAGACCGTGTGCTACACTCCCACCTCCTCCTCCATGAGTTCCAACCTGACCCGGAGCTCCAGCAGCGACAGCATCCACAGCATCCGAGGGAAGCCCGGGCTGGTGAAGCAGCGGGCGCAGGAGATCGAGACGCGACTCCGGCTGGCGGGTCTCACTGTGTCATCCCCGCTGAAACGTTCCCACTCCCTGGCCAAGCTGGGAAGTCTCAACTTCTCCACGGAGGACCTGTCCAGCGAGGCGGACACCTCCACCATCGCCGACTCGCAGGATGCCAAGTGTGCACACTCTTCCTTCTCGCACGAACCCCGGGCTGCCCCGAAGGACCCCACTGCAGCCTGTAAACCATCAGGGAAATCTGTCCCAGAACACTTGAAAAGCCTGTCGAGGATGAACAAAAGCTGACCCAGCAAGCATTCTGCCGCGTGGGTTGAGGTTTCCGTGGTGTCCTGATCCACCGCCACTCGCCACTCACGTCTTGATTTGTGTTAACTTCAGTCATCCAGGCTTTCCTCACTCTTGCCGAAATGAAGGGGAGGAGAAACAGAAGTACCATAGCGCACGTGAAGATAGACCCAGTGTGGGGCCTGGGCGACCTGGAAACTCAGGAGCCGGACAGCTCCAATCCCAAAGCCCTGTCTCTGGGAAGAGAATGGACACACAGGCTGGGGCTGTGTCTGCGTTGTTCAAGTCTTGCCCACCACACGCCACGCCCTGGGTTTGATTCCCCAGCACCCCATAAAACCAGGCATGGTAGTGCACCCCTATCATCCCGGCACTGGAGGTAAAGGCAGAAGGATCAGAAATTCAAAGTCATTCTCAGCTATAATAGTGAGTTTTAGGCCAGCCTGGTGGAGAGAGGAGAATGAGTCTGTACATCCAAAATATTTAATTTGCAACCTGTGAGAGAAGAACCGTGGTGATGTCGACACTGTAGCCCACGTTCCCGGCTCGTTCCTGTCCTCGAGGGAGAATTCTCAGACGACGACGACACACAAGTTCTACCTCTTGTTCTCACTGTGCATTTTGTTTTTAAAATAGTAACGACCAAGGCTCGTCCTGAGGAACAATGCTGTGTCTGAAAGGGGTTTTTCCAAGAGAATCGTGGGGGGGCTTGGGGGTTTTGTTTTTGATGTTTTGGGGGAGGGTGGGGACCCCCAGAAGTTTCAAGGCTTTGAACCCTGACCATCCCAAGTACAACCAGGCGAAATCAACAGAGGAAGGCGTGGCGGTTGTCTGTGTCGCCCTCCATCCTGGCACCTGCCATGGGGTACGTGGGGTCCTCAGCTGCTAGCATATCACCCAGTCACGGGGAAGGACTCCGGGCATCGCTGAGCCACATCTGCTGCTAATAGGCATTGTTATGTATGGGAATGGGACGAGCTCGTGTCCATGAGGTTGTGGGGCTGGGATGTGGATTTTCCTATTGAGACACTGTGACCCCCCTCCCCACCCCAACCCCCCGGCTCATTAGGTGCCACCTCATTTGGTGAGAGGAAGGACGTGTCAGCAATGGGATGCTTTCTCGTGGGTCCCTCTCCAGGAGCTACTGTTGGAGGAGTGAGTCTGTTGAAAAGGCCTCGCAGGTGTTTACAAGATTCCCTTCCCACCGGAGAACACTCCCTCCTGTCAGCAGAATACTGCTTCCTTTTCTCCAGCTCTCCCATGCAGTAGTGATGAGGCCAAGGAGGCGGGCCACAACACAGGTGTTAGCACAGCTTAGCTCAATGCATCAGGAGGCCTGGGCACGCTGGGTTTAGATTAAGCACCTTGTCTGATGTTTACCAAGATGACAGTGCTTAAGTATTTTGAAGAGAGAGCAGAATGACCAGAGGAAGGGCCTGGTTTGGTGTTTGGCAGACTGTGATTTATTTCTTGGGGTTTTGTTTTGTTTTTTTGTTTCTCTCCTTTTTTTCTATTTTTTTTTGTTTGTTTGTTTTTGTTTTGGTTGGTTGGGTTTTTTTTTTTTTTTTTTGAGACGGTTTCTCTGTGTAGCCCTGGCTGTCCTGGATCTCACTCTGTAGACCAGGCTAACCTCAAACTCATAGAGATCAGCCTGCCTCTGCCTCCCGGAGTAAATGTGTGCACCACCACTGCCTGGCGCGTGCTCACGCTCTCGCTTGCGCGCGCGCGCTCTCTCTCTCTCGCTCTCTCTCTCTCTCTCTCTCTCTCTCTCTCTCTCTCTCTCTCTCTCTCTCTCTCATTTGAGATAAGGTAAGGTCTTACTATGTAGCTTCCGCTGTCCTGGAACTTGCTATGTAGACCAAGTAATCCTCAAACCCAGCAAGGCCTCCCTGCCTCTGCCCATTGAGTTTGTTATACTTTTTTTTTTTTTGGTAGAATCTCATTGTGTAGCCCAAGCTGGCCCCCCAACTCAACAGCAGTCCTCCTGCCTCAGCCTCCCAAATGCTGAGATTACAGGTATAATCCCATCATGCCCCGGGCTAGGATGCCACATTTTTAAGGGTTTGTCGAGAGATAGATGAAGTTGGTGCACAGCCTTGTGATCCTGCATCAGGAAACTGAGGCAGGTCCAGCAGGTCCATCATGAGTTAAAGCCCAACCTAGGCCCCAGTGTGAGACTACCTCAAAAAAGAGTAACCCCAACCGGGAAGGTGTTACCTGCCTCAGGCATCTGCTGTCAGGCTCTCCATAGAAAGCTTGCTGACTGATTTATGTGATGCCTCGGGGCTGTGTGTGGTACCACAGGAAGACATGGGACATTTTAGAAGGCCTCCTGTGCTTCTTGGATGTCACAGACCAAATACTTCCTCCTCCTGCCCCAAACGGCGCCAGCCTTTCCCTTTCCCTCTTGTGCAGAAGGAGACCTTGTGGAGGTGACCACAGCTCTGTCCTGCAGTTGGCTGGTTCAGCCAGACAGCTGAGGGAGACCCCAAAGCCTTCCAGGACTGGCTGTGTTCCAGACGTGCATGGTTTGGAGTTACCCAGCACTAGTTAGAAGGGAGTCCCAAAAACGGCCATCCTGGAGAATACCCAAGACGTTTCCAGGAACAAGGCTCATCCTCATCATTAGTGCAGGGTCTTCGTGAGCCTCTGTCTTGGAGCTTTTCTCCCTGGCATGATTTTAAAAAAAACAAAATACATGTATGTTATTTTACAGGGGTTTATTTTCCCACCAGTGTCAACAGTAATCACCTTAAAAAGTGATTATCCACTGCTTATTCCTGAGACCCTGTGGGCTTCCTCCACTCTCCCTCAGCCAACAAAAGCAAACTTTAAAAAAAAAAAAAAAAAAAGCCAACTTTAATGGATGTCGCCAAGTTCAATTTCACATGGTAGATCAATTTTTGTGTCAAAATAATCCCTTAGATTTGGTAATGATAGGCTTCCGCCAGATCCTGAAGCCCGTCTGGAAGGGTGATTGGAGCTTGAAAACCACAGTTTGTCCTGTTCTGTCCAAAGGATAAGGACAGGAGGGTGGCAAACTTAAGTGGGTCTTTGGCCTGTCAGCCAACAGGGTGCAAACAGCAGGGCGCTGCCCCCCCCCCCCCAAGTCACCGGAAGAGTCCCCTGTCTTGATGGTTTTCATTCTGGCCTGGAGAGTTGGATCTGTCTGTTAACACTGTGGACTGGTGTTTAATTTAAAGGGTTCTGTGACATTTATCCTGCCAAGCCAGGCTCACCTCAGCAGTGACAACTCCGCATTGTCTCATGAAAAGCCTGTTCCAGCCGGGATCGGTGGCACACGCCTTTAATTCCAGCAGAGGCAGGAGGATCACTGAGTTCAGGGCTACATAGACCCTGACCACCACCACCCCCCCAAAAAAAGTTGGCCCGGCCAATGCTTTGTATGTAATCTTAGCAAATGAGGCCCGCACAGAAGAGGCACACAGGGCAAGCAGAGGGGTTTGGATTTATGCAGCGTGACTGCATACAGTTTTCACTGAATGTCTTTGCTGAATGGAGAGCTTTCTCCTTAGCTTGATGCCCTGGGTTCTCAGCTGCATTCACATAGCCTCCCAGAAAGCCTAAACCTTGTCGTGGCCTCGCCTTACCTCGACGCAGGCTTCCTGGAGTGTGAGGGGGATGGATACTGGACAGAGAGGGATGCCCGATGACGTGAACAAAGAGCAAGGTGCATCCCCAAGCCCCTCGTTCTCAGTGTGAAGACCCCTGCCAACCCCACATGGCTCAGTCATGCAGATGACTCACGGGTACCCAGACAGCTGCGCTGCTCCGGCCCGTTCCAGTCCTGCTCCACAGCTTGCTCTAGCAGAAGATCCAGCCCTGCTAGTCTAGAGCCCTTCCCTCTGCCCCAGAGAAGCCCAGAGGGTGCTGCAGGATGGAGCCAAGTTTGGAGAGAACAGACCTTGACGGCCACCCTGTGCTTTTGTGCGCCTGTCTCAGGGCCCATCCTGGAAGGCTTACGAGTCTCCTGCTCTTCAGGAACCATTTCTCCTCGGCAAGAACAAGACCACGTCAAGAAACATCGCCCGGGACACCCTAAGGAAAGGGAGTTACTTCTGAGTGGCTGGCAGTTACTGGTGCCAGAATTTGTTTCCCCAGGGCTTGACTGGTCACTTAGCAGAGCTCTCCAGAAGCACATACAACTCCATGGGGTAAATACCTGTGGCAAGAAAGCCGGGTAGGTAGTCGCTTGGTATCATCTGGCCAGCATGGAGCAGAAGCATCTGACCTGGTCCCCATCCCCGAGTTCCTGCTAATAAGAAAGACCAGATGAAGGTCATTGATGGTCCCCTATCCAAAGCCCTTTGTTTTGTTACTGTTGGGAGTGTGAGAGTCCACTCTGCATGCATGTATGTACGTGAATCTATGTGCATATACGTGGTGTATGCAGTGTGTGTGTGTGTACCTGATCCAACCTAGTGTATGCAATCTCTCTCATCACACACTGTCCTCCAGCTATGCAGCAAATCACACTAGACTCATCGGCAGTGAATCCACTGGGGCCGTCTGGAGAAGGGCGACCACCTCATCCTAACTTTTTTGCAGTAGACACCGCAGCCCCTCCCTCAGTCCCTGGCTTGAACAGGAGTCCTAACCACGCAGCCTGGTCGTAGGCCTTGCCGAATGAGAAGATGGCTGCTTCCTCCTCTACACTGTAATTATTGTTTTACAATCGAGTGCCTTAATGATCGTTTACAAATACTGTGTATTTATGCGCACCTGTTCGGCTCTCATCTTTCGCGGCTGGGTACTCTGTCTCATCCTGGTGGTTGAGATCAGGAACCGAGTTCCTCCCCACCCCGCTCCACTTCTGTTTATTCTGCTGTGCAGTTGACACTGGTTCGCTACCCGCTCCACAGAGCCTTCGAGAAGTGGCGCTGTTGAGTTCCTGCAGGCCAGGCTGACATCGGCCAACACCACAGCCCATGGTAGCCGATGGAGGATGTGATTTGGTTTGCCAGGCAGCTGGGAGGTGGTGCAGGCCCCGCCATGGGGGTACCTCCCCCAAGACCCCTCACAGTTGTCCTCTGGTTTATAGAGGTTTGTTACCACCTAGTCCCCCTTCACACTCCCTGTTCTCCTGTCCATACCCTGAGCTCCTGGCAGCAGATTGTGGGTACGGCTCACCCCAGAGGAGCCACACCAGACTGCGCGTTCTTCACCTTTCAAAGGCTGCCGCCGCCGGTTCCCGTGCATTGCATTACAACTTTGATTTTTTTTTTTTACTTTTTTTATATGATATATTTAAAAGGCAGTATCTTTTGTACTGTGAATTTGCAGTAGAGCATAGTGCACTTTTTTTTTTTACTTCTGTTGGTGTGTACTGTATATAGTCTGTGTGCTTCTTGTGATGAAAATAAACATTTCCTTTATAAATGTCACGAGAGTGCCCGTGTGTACTAGAGGGCTCTGCTGCTAGCCCTCACCGAGACGTCCATATGCTCTTCTCCTGTCGTTGTGGGCATTCATTTTTTTAGGTTTATTGTACCTGCTGAGTCTGAGGCCCTTCTCTAAAGTTGGAGGACGGGAGGACAGCACTGGCACCACCCCAGAGCTTTCTCCTTCCCAGACCTATCACCGGTGCCTGGGATTGGACAAGTGGAATACAAGCCAGGCAGTGGTGGCATACACCCTTAATCCCAGCACTTGGGAGGCTGAGGCAGGGGGAGTGTTCTGAGATTCAGGCCAGCCTGAGCTACAACAACGTGAAACTCATCTCCAAAAGATAAAAGTGTGGCCAGGCATAGAACTCAGTGGTGGGACACCGGCTTCCAGGGTACAAGGCCCTTAATTCCACCTTCTGACTGAAAAGGCGGGTGGCGAGAAAGGGGGAAGGGGCCAGTGGCACAGATCCAGGAGAAGAATCAAGCTGTAGCACTTCCCACTGTGAAATGTGGGTGGTTTTTTTTTTCTTAAGATTTTTACATTTCATGTGTGTGGATGTGTTGCTCACCTGCATGCTTGTGCACCACACGCATGTCTTGGTGTCCAAGGAGATGAAAAGAGGTCACCGTATCTCCTGGAACTGAAATTAATGAGCCACCATGTAGGTGCCGGGAGTTAACCGCAGCCCTCTGCAGGAACAGCAAGTGCTGGCTCGCTCCTCACCCCCAAGCCGTCCCCAGCTTCCTCTCAGACATGTTTTAAACAGATGGATCTCTGGTGCGAGCGAGCGCTTCCCTGGAAGCCGAGAGATACCAGCCTGGAGCCCACACCTCTCTGGGCTCCACCCACAAATCAGTCCAGGGCAGCAGTTCTCAACCTGTGGGTTGAGACCCGTTTGGTGTGTGTGTGTGGGGGGGTGTTTGAACGACCCTTTCACAGGGGTCACATCAGATATCCTGCATATCAGATATTTACATTAAAATAACTAGCAAGATTACAGTTATGAAGTAGCAACGAAAATAACTTTATGGTTACTTGGGGCGGGGGAGTCACCACAACACAAGGAACTATATTAAAGGGTCGTCGCAGCATTAGGAAGGTTGAGAACCACTGGTCTAGGGGCAGGCCCAACAATGTGTACGTTTCCCATAC